AAGTCAAATATAAATAACATCGATGAGATGCTTTAAATATTTCTATTTTCTAATTGAATCAAAGAGTTGCATTTTAAGCCGTTGCTTGTTGCCTGGTAGAGGCCATTAAAGACGAAGGTAAATACGTTTGGTTACCTGGACGCTTCAGCAGAGCGCGGCTCTATTGAGGCGGTGCTACACGTCTGGTGGTGCTAAATTAAAAAGATCTAGACTTTTAGTTTGATAGGATTTTTAAATTAGTAAAATGCTATTTTGGGTCAATCTCTAGAAAAACACAAAAAAACGATTTCAGGAGGAAACTTTTTTTTTTTCCAGAGGGGTAAAGTGCAGGTGCTGTAGCGCCACCTAGTGTCTATATGAGCACGTCTCTGCTGCTTTGATAAATTGTCAATAAATATCCCCATGAAATAAAAAAATATGCTTAATGTTTTTAACTTATTTTCTCTTTTTTTCTATTTCAACATTTTTTACTAATTCAAATATTTATTCATTACTTTAAGCATTTTATTACTTATTTCATTATGGAGTATTATTTTGCGACACTTTTATTTTGTAAAGACGGGGGCAGGAGATGGAGACACCAAGAAAAGGGGAGGGGCTAGAACCCGGCTGTTCCAGGTTGGCATCAGGGTTTTTGTTTCTGAAGGTTTGTTGCCATTTTTTATGATGTTTTCCCTGAGAAACCCAGATGAGCTCACTCCAACCGTCGGACCTTCGTCACCTGAAGGGTGACCTCAGACTGAGGAGCAGGACGGGACGGCGGTAACCTGCAGTAACCCAGGGTTCTGTTTCAGATGTGTGCAGGGTGATCGAACTGCTGGACCGGCTGCAGAGAACCGGGGAGCTGCCTCCTCCCAAGCTGCAGGCCCTGCAGAGAGTCCTGCAGAGCAAGTTCTGTGCCGCCATCAGGGAGGTACGCATGACGGTCCTAAAGATGCTCCGGTTCCTCCTGGATTCATGTTCTGACTTGGAAACGCTTCTCATGAACACATTACACCTGTGATTTAGGGTCCGACCCACAAACCTGCACATCTAGTCCTCTTTCTAAACCAGTGATTCCCAACAGGGGGTACTCGTACCCCTAGTGGTCCACCAGTGAACTGCAAGGGATTCATGAAAATACTTTATTTCTTTGGTGGTAAAATAAAATAGGGTTATAGGATGTGATCTGCTTTGTGAAGACCCAATTAAAAATTAAACAAGCTTTATTTGGCCAAAAAGTAGGTTATTCCTCTATGTTTGAGTTCACCTTCAACTTTGACACAGTAGGTCAGAGGTCAGGGATAAGCGGAGCATGGTCCGGATCCGGACCCAACCTGATTTAAAACATTTATAAATTACTGCATGTTGTCCCGGCAACAGTGTCTAACTTGCTCCTCTTCTCCTGTTAATACGGTAAAGCCCTGGGGAGCGTCCGGCTCCAGGC